CTTGCCCCCTCCCGGGAGGACGTGATCACCCGCACCCCTTCTGTAGAGGGAGCTGGAGTGACAGCTGCACGAGTGTTGTGAAACCGTGCAAGGGAGGCATAGCAAAGCTGTGCAACAAGTTTGTCAATGAAGACTAGGGAAGAGGGCCAGGAACAATTTGGGAAGCCTACACTCGAGTGAAAAACTGAATGTTCTTCACACCTCAGAAGGAAAGACATTTAAAATACCAATTGTGTAACATTCGGATCGTCAAAAGAAGGGAAACTGAGGAATTACTTGGAGAGTACAGCAATCATGTGAAAGTCTTATTGTCTAATAATATATAAAAACATAACCTCTCAGATTGTGCCATCTAAAAGAACACTAGGATCTACACTGTCACTTGATGTGTGTCATCCTTCTGTCACAGTGGCTACTATTTTTTAAAAATCAAACAACATAATGCCCAAAGCAGTGCTTATGCCTGAATTCCACCATATGATATAGTATTCTTTTCAGGAGGAAGATGCACACTTTGGTTTTAGATGTTTTCTTTCGGCCTTTGCAATATTTTATTGAATTAATGCAGATTGAAATAAGTAGAAAAATCAGAAAACACAAAGTGGATCACCAGTCACTTCACCTCAGATGAAATAATCTGGAATTTATTTTTCTCCCTTCTGTTCACCAAACTCCATCTCCACCAGATCACAGTGCTGTACTCTGCCAATCACTCATCTGTCTCCCTGCCCTCACCGTTGAGTAAAACATAAGCCCATGACTGCAGTCCTGACCTGGTGTACTTTTTTTTTTTTTTAAGTTCAAAGGCTTTTTATTGCTGGCAGGATTTGGGGCTTGCTTAATTGATATGTTAATTCCAAAAATGATATTCCATCTTGCAGTTTGATAGGGCTGGTCTTTGATCTTCGATGATAAACTGGAAGGTGTATGCATTGTCTGTGGCTGCAGTCTGTAGGCATGAGAGAACTGTAAAATTTTCCTCAACTTCTACCTGTCTAGAACCTGACTAAAACCGTGCAACATTCCACTTTTCTTACCGTGCATAACCTTTGACAAGTAATTCTGATAGGATTAGGTTTTTTGTAAATAATAAGACTTATTATAAGAGGTGGGTGAGTAAATCTTGGAGGGGCTAGTAACTTTTGATAACTTTGGAAGCATGTTTTATTATACTAGAATTACATAAAAGAACACAATTTCAGGGGGTAGGAGAGTTAGTCTATAAAGTGCTACCAGACTGTTTATTAAGTTTATCCAGTACAGACTAACGAAACATGTAGATGGTATCATGAGCTTTCTTGGGTACAGCCCACTTCTTCAGATGACTGGAGTTTTGAGTTTAGGATGTGTAGACCCCAAATAAATAGGAAGGGGGAAAAAAGGAAGGGGATGGGAAGACAAGGAGCAGAGGGTATGAAAATATCAAAGAGAAAAACAAGTAGGCAGAACTGGTAACCTATAAGCACCTAAAGATTGGATAGTTAAAAGAAGCAGATAAGAATCATAGGATAATAGGAGGCAAACAGACAACTCACCAATACCAGATTCTACAATCCTCTCTCCTGTGACCCCACTAAGGAATTAAAATGAAAAAAACTGCTCATGAAGCTCCCTGATGCTGCTCAGGAACAAATTTACATTAACATCCCACCCTAACCCCTGACCAGGAATTTTCTATCTGCTACCCAAAATACACAAACTTGGAAATCTCGGACGGCCCATCATTTCAAGCATTGGCACACTTATCACAGGGTTATCTGGCAATGTTGACTCCTTCCTCAGACCCTACGTTACCAGCACTCCCAGCTACCTCCGCGACACCACTGACTTCCTGAGGAAACTTCAAAACATCAGTAATCTACCTGAAAATACCATCCTGGCCCCTATGGACGTAGAAGCCCTTTACACCAACATTCCACATGAAGATGGATTACAGGCTATCAGGAACCCCATACCCGATGACAGCACTGCACACCTGATTACAGAGCTCTGCTACTTTGTCCTCACCCACAACTACTTCCAATTCGGAGACAATTTGTATCTCCAAGTCAGCAGCACAGCCATGGGCATCACAATATGCCAACATCTTTATGGCTGACCTTGAACAACGTTTCCTCAGCTCTCACTCCCTCCCATCCTAATTTACTTATGCTACATTGATGACATCATCGTATGGACCCACGGAAAAGAGACAAAGACTTTCACAAGGATTTCAACAACTTCCACCCCACTATCAACCTCAGCCTGGACCAGTCCACATGAGAAATTCACTTCCTGGACACTACAGTACAACTAAATAATGGACAAATTTCCACCACCCTATACCGGAAACCCACTGACCGCTACACTTACCTTCAGGACTCTAGCTTCCATCCCAGATACCCCATCCTAATTTACTTATGCTACATTGATGACATCATCGTATGGACCCACGGAAAAGAGACAAAGACTTTCACAAGGATTTCAACAACTTCCACCCCACTATCAACCTCAGCCTGGACCAGTCCACATGAGAAATTCACTTCCTGGACACTACAGTACAACTAAATAATGGACAAATTTCCACCACCCTATACCGGAAACCCACTGACCGCTACACTTACCTTCAGGACTCTAGCTTCCATCCCAGATACATTTCTCAATCTATTGCATACAGCCAAGCTCTAAAATACAACCGGATTTGCTCCAATCCCACAGACAAACACCTACAGGATCTTTATAGAGCATTTCTAAAACTGAAATACCCACCTGGAGAAGTGAAAAAACAGATTGAAAGAGCCAAAAAAGTACCCAGACATGAACTACATCAAGACAGACCCAAAAGAGAAAACAACAGAATTCTACTTGCCGTTACCTACAGTCCACAACTCAGACCCCGCCAACGCATTATACACAATCCGTAACCCATCTTGGAAAATGATCCTTCACTCTCGAGGCCTTGGGGGAAAAGCCTATTCTCATTTACAGACAACCCCCCAACCTGAAACGAATTTTTTCTGGTTACTATGCTACGCAACCACATCATAAGCATCCAGGAACCCAGCCCTACAATCAGCTGCAGTGCCAACTCTGCCCACATATCTATATAAGAGAATTCATCACTGGAGCCAACAACATAAGCTACCAAATCAAAGGCTCATTTAACTGCACATCCAGTAATTTGATCTGTGCCATCAAATGCCAGCAATGCCCCACTGCTATATATATTGGACAAACTGGACAGTCCCTATGGGAAAGAATCAATGGACACAAATCAGATATACATAAAGGGAACATACAGAAACCTGTTGGAGAACGCTTCAGTCTACCTAATCGTTCTTTAAAAGATCTCCAGGTGGCTGTCTTATCACAAACCAATTCTACAAGCCAAATACACAGAGGCGTTGGAATTACAGTTCATCCACAGATTCAGTTCTCACACTGATAACCTCCTCAATCGAGCTATTGGACGGCTGGGACATTATCAACCTAACATTCGATGAAGGTGCCAACATATCTTTGTCTGTGTAGATTCTTGCGTTAGTACCCTTCCTATCTAACTGCTATCCTATGATCCTTATCTCTTCTTTTAACTATCCAATTTTTAGATGCTTATAGGTTACCAGTTCTGCCTACCTGTTCTTCCCTTCGATATTTTCATACCCTCTGTTCCTTGTTTCCCATCCCCTTCTTTTTTTTCTCCCCTCCCCCCGCCCCTCTCTATTTATTTTGAATCTGCACAGCCTAAACTAAGAACTCCAGTCATCTGAAGAAGTGGGCTGTGCCCACGAAAGCTCATGATACCATCTACATGTTTTGTATAAAGTGTTACCAGACCATTTGTTTTGTAAGTTTATAATATAACATATTAGGCAGCTCTGACATATGAAGAAGTAGATTAAATGAACAATGTCCTGCAAACAGCAGAGTTGGTTTGTAGTTTTAATTGGAAGGTAGTATTCCACAGAAAGAGAGCTGCAGATTCCAGACTGGCTGTATTATTTGTGGTGAAGTATGTACCACTTGTGCTGAGTGCCTCTAGGATGAATGTGAGTCTCTGAAGCATTCTCCTTTAAACTGTGCAGTTCATCTAGTGAGTCATCAGGCAGATCTTACAAGCAGTTTCACAAATACCAGATGGGAATAAAATTAAAAGTAATAGCGAATAGCAATTAAGTGTTGTTCATTATAATCAGGAAGTGTGTGTGCTTGTGGGAAGCTGGCAAATTATTTACTTTGAAAAAAATGGAAAGCCAAGTTTCGTCGCTACAGGGAGTAAAAAGAACAAAGTTTAGGATGCAAGCTTCATCATGAACCATTAATTCTTGCCAGGCATGATTGGCAAGTTGGCTGCTTTGATCTGCATGTATCTGGAAAAGCTTCTCAGTAGCAGACTTATCATGGCTGCTCCCTTTTGAATGGCTATTTCTATATGAGCTAGCAGTGATGAGCTTTTAAAGGTTAAGATATTTCACCTTGGGCCTTCCTTCCTATGTATTATACATCATGCAGGTAGATCTTCCTTCTGGTATATATTACACATTTAACGTGTTGCATGTATCATTGTTATTCAGTTTAACAAGCTTTCATGGGCAGTCACAAGTTAAAGGGACCTTGCCAAGATCTGATAAGCTTAACCTTAACATATACATGGACCAGGAAAATGTTTTTGTGGCCACAAAGAACAGTCCAAATCCACTCCTTTGTAACGCATAAACAAACAATGCCTGAGCTGATTCCTATCCTAGTGGACGAGTACTGCCTTGATTACAAAGAATCATGAAGTGACACTATTGATTTTTGCACAGAATTTTGGAAGTAAAGGGCTTGCTTGCTTCTGGGCTATGTGTGAAGTGACGCCAGAGGGTATCTAGGGCAGGGATGTAAATGCTTAACCAGTTAACTGGTAAGTCTCACCCTTAATGGGTGAAGCTTACAGGTGCCGATTAACACAGTAGGGGCTAGAACAGCTCCCCGCCTGCCGCAGGGCAGTCCCTGTCCATGGCGGGCCAGTTCGGGCCCCCGGCTGGTCACATGATGGCTCCCTGGGAGTGGGCTGCAGCAAAGCCTGCCAGCCCCACTTTAAGGAAGCCAGCTTTGCTGCATATGGCAGAGCCTGCAACACATGTAACCACTGAGTTTTAGTGGTTACATGATTACATGTTTAAACTACTTGCTACATCTCTAGTGTATGGCAAAAGTGGCTTCAAGTCACCTTTACAATTCCCTCTTTCTGGGACCATCAAACTTTCGGCCTGGTAGAGTAGCTTCAGAGCAGCCTGTGGCCAGCATATTTCAGCAGCTGAAGATTACCAGGCATGGAGATGCTTGGGGAAGGAGAGGAAATGGGAAGACACAGAAGTCACTGTCACCACCGTACGATAACACAGGGGAATATATTGGTCAAATCCTAATCTGTGTTTCAAAGTGCAACCAGTGCTTAGTATTTGCTATTCAATAGCTCACTTCCTTCCATGTGCATGATTAGATTTTTTTTAAAAAAGTGTTTTGTAGTTTTTTCCCCTCAGATTTTTAAAATTCTGATTTAATTTTTACTACTTAAGCGGCCTGACTAATGAGCATGTCACTTACCTTGGATATTAGATTGAGCAGTTTCACCTTTTGGTCAGTTTCAGACCCCAGTACTTATGTTCTAGCCTAGAGGGTCTCCATTTTTTTCTGTACCAGGTGTAACTCAGCACCATTTTAATTTGCAGTAAGGGAAGGGCAGAGATGATGGTAATTACCTGCAGAGTTGAAATTCACTCCATGGTGAGAATCCAGACATGTAAAATCCTTTTTTCTTTAAGTTTCCAATGTTACAGGGTACAATTTTTTAATAGCCATTGAATTTCAGAAAATTTCTAAAGGCCTTATTTTAAAATGATATCTTCATTTGGGACTCAGATCTTTCTTTAGGTTATGTAGACAGTATAACTACTACACCATTTATGTTTGAGCAGAAGTGAGGATTTCAGCTGGGGTAATTGCACATCTTGAATTTGCATACTTGATACCGATGTACATAGTCCAAGTAGTAATACAGTTGCTAAACTGGATGCTAAAGAGTGCTTGCATATGGGGGAGTTTATCATGATAATAAACTTGTTTTTCCATGGTGTATTCCTCCATTACAGACCGCTTCCTTTCCGCGAAGCTGGAAGACAACCTGTTTTACATCAAGTAGTTCTTCCGACACCGTGAACCAGAAGTGGGGAGGAGTGGGGTGGTACATGGGGAGGGTCACAAGCTCCCCTGCTTGGTTTATGCTGAGCAAACTCAGTCACATTGCTGAAGCCAGCTGCCTTCACTTTGGCCCCCATTCCCCTTCAGACACACATTACCCCTTCCATGAGCCATGCAGCCATCTATCTTAGGTTCCTATATGGTCCCATCACCTGAGTGTCTGATCCCTCTTGATCTTGAATATGTTTTTTCTCACAACAGTCCTGGGAGGCAGAGACTGACGGCATATCCCCCTTTTACAGGTGAGGCAGGCAGACACCAAATATTTGCCCAAAATTACACACACAGTTTGTGGCAAGTTAGGAATTGAACCCATGGCCCTTACTGGCATTCTAACCATTGGAGCATTCTTCCTCTCCACAGTATTGTGTGGAACACAGCAATGCAGTTTCTAGCATCAGCCTGGGTGGGGATCCAGCTGGTTCCACACAATCTCCACCACACACTAATGGGTAGGGGGAATGTGCTTGCATACCCTTCTTCTCTCCTTTTTTACACTGCTTGCCATTTGATAAATGTTTTACCTTCATTTCTTAAACACGGGTGGCAAAAATCCCTTAGTTTCTCTCATGGCTCCATGTCTTCACAGTGGAAAGGTGCAGGCTAGTTGGAGAGTAACTTCTCTTATCCCCTTTGGTTTATCTTAGCTTTTGACCTTTCTTGGAGTGCTGAGGCCCCTGCCTATGCAGAATGGACCCTGTTGTTCTGAGTTATGTGGACAGCTTGCTGAGGCAGTCGGATGTGTCCTTGCTGGATCCCCCCAACTGGCTTAATGACCACATCATTGGATTTGCCTTTGAGTACTTTTCTAGTGACCAGTTCCAAGACTTTTCCGAACAAGTATGCTTTGTCAGTCCCGAAGTGGCTCAGTTCATCAAGTGTGCCACCAGCCCAGAGGAAGTTGCTGTGTTCCTGAAGCCGCTGCGCCTCCCGCACAAGGAGGTGGTGTTCCTGGCCATCAATGATAATTCCAACCAGGCTGCTGGGGGCACCCATTGGAGCCTGTTGGTTTACTTCCGGGACAAAAACTGCTTTGCTCATTATGACTCCCAGAGAAAGAGCAACTCTGCTCATGCCAAGCAGGTGGCAGGGAAGCTGGAGACATTTCTGGGCAAGAGAGGAGGCAGAGTGGCCTTTGTAGAGGAGAAGGCCCCTGCCCAGCAGAACAGCTATGACTGTGGAATGTATGTGATCTGTAACACAGAGGCTCTGTGTCAGGGGTACTTCAGGGGCCTGCAGGAGTCAGTCCTGCAGCTCCTCACACCTTCATATATCACGCGGCGGCGGTCAGAATGGAAAGCTCTCATTGCCAGACTTGCTTGCAAATGATTGAAATGTATTTGCTCTCTCCCACGCTCCTTCTCCATTCCCAAGACCTACCTTTCCTGGCCTCTAGTCTCCACCCCCAGTGCCTGAGGGAGGTAGCTATGTACAGGATTGCTCCACCAAAAGAATGTGACCCCTCCCGCATGGCTACACTGCGCCACCTCAGCTAAAAAGCCAGTCTCCTCTACAACCCACTAGCCTTCAGACTTAAGGACAGGTACTATTGCTTTGTGCATCCAGCAGCAGTGTTATGCGTTCAAGCACTTTTCAAACTAGGTAGGAGAAGGTTCCTCCCCCTGCAAGCAAACTGTCCTCCTTAGGTGATTTTAAATGTTCTCTCTAGTCTAAGTCAAACCAGCTTCAGTGGTGTCTGTCATACATACGTACGGCCTACTTTTATAAGGACACCTCTGCTTTCTCCCTGCTTCTTAATTGTGTCTCCCTGTTACAGGATTTAGCAATCTAGCTACACAATTAGGTCCAAAAATTTGGTACTGGGATATCCATATCTTGTCCTCTGAGAGTATAAAGTTACACCTGCACAATCAGCATTAAAGCTGAGGATCATTTAAAGGGGCCTCCAAAGGTAAGAAGAAAAGTGATTTTTGCCCTCTTTTGGTGCTTTTTTAAAGATGTATAACAAAGGCCTGCTTGTTTTGGTGTCAGAAATGCACTTTTTTTTGTATCCTGGATGGTTGAACCACTGGAAAACTAGTAGAAGAGTGTCAAAACAAGTGCTAAGACAGTGAAACCTGCTTGAGATGGGGAGAGTTTTAACCACTGAATAAAGCTTATTTTCCTCTGCACTTTCTTTGTACAAGTATCTGAAAAAAGTTGGAAGGGAAAAAAAAACCCTCAGCTTCCACCCCTCCAGTTAAGTTTTAAGAGAACTCAATAAACAAGACCTCCAACAACCTCTCTAGCAAAATTCCCTCCTCCCCCCAAAAAAACCCTTTTATATTCCTAGTTTACAAAACAAAGGAAAAAACCTCTTGGATCTTTTCATGTATCATAAAAAGCGGTATGGGCTAGGAGTGCACACACAAGTGTGGTGTCTGATTTTTCAGAGGCGCTGATGTCAATGGCTACATCTACACAGTTTCTCTCTTCTGCAAAAGCCTCTGCAAATTAGGAACAGATTGGCATATTGCTGCGCTTTGTTAGGAACCATTTTTGCACAAGAGCTTTGTGCGCAAAAAACCCCCCTTGTGCAAGAGCTGTTCTTCCTGAAAAAATGCGGAAGAACAGCTCTTGCACAAGAGGGGGTTTTTGTGCAAAAATGCACTGTGTGGTCAGCACCTTGCTGTGCAAAAAACGGCTCCTAATTAAGTATGCAAATGAAGTATGGCAATATGCTAATCCACACTTCATTTGCATAGGCTTTTGCAGAAGCTGTATAGACGTAGCCAGAAAAATCAAGCTGTTAGTCTTTGTTGTACTTCTCTATCCTCCCCAATGTAAGTGGTTGATTCAAAACAGAAATGCTGTGGCTGCAGGACTGGATTACAGTGGGGATCCAAAACAGTAGGAAGATGGAATAGTAGACACAGAAAACAAATCGCTTCGTTGATTTCAACAGAGAAACCCTGATTCATACCAAGTGAGCATCTGTCCCAATGAATTCTTCCAAAGTGCCCAGTCAAACAAACCATAGTGATTGTGGGGGAAGGAGTTAACGATCACAAGGTAATGATCCTTCCTAGATTTGCCAATGCTAACAACAGAGTGTTTGCCTCTTGCTCTTTGCTTTTTCATTATCCTTTTGAGTATATGGGAGAAGTCAGTTCTACTGACCTGCATCTGAAATCCTGGGAACCGTCTGATGAAATAGGATTGTTGAGTCACCTTATGCAAAACACAGTGCCTGACTGAACATGCTGAACTGTGCTGCTTGGATAGCCTGTCAGAGGTGAGACTGTGAGGTGGTCTGCTCTCTCTGAGATTATTTGCTTGTTTTTTTTTCCTCCCCCTTCCTATTTCCTGCCACCAAGAAGTAATTAACACATGGATGCACAACCTCGCTCTTTTGCCCTGCCTTCCAGATTAGCTGTTCAGATTATACAGAGAAATAGGTCTTGCCGTGGTATGATTTTAGCAGACATCTCCCCCGCCCCGAGAATGCTGTTCAGCTTAGCTCACTACAGTATATGAGGGGAGGGGGAAAGAAATCCCCTTCTCCCAGGCAGGCCCATCACATGGAGAATCCAGTACCAAGAATAAAGAAAGATACCAATTGAAAAAGCCACACTGTGTTTGATAGGTTACGTTTTCAATGTGAATAGAGTGGGCAGGTGGGGGAAGGAAAGAATTCCTACATCTTATTAACCAGTCACAAACACCTTACCCTGATGTAGCTCTTTTCATTAGAGGCATAGGAATACAACATGGAGGGGGAGAAGTTGCCATTGCCACACTTTGCGAAGCCCCCAAAAAGCAGCAACATTTCTGTGCCTTCGGTAGCATCTTTTACAGTCAGCTGCATGATTCACAAGCAGATGCTTCCTCTGTTTGGGCACCATGAAGAGCTGCTGAGCCATGTGTCACAGAGTTGGAACAGACCTGAATCTGGTCTTCCTATCACTTCACAACACTTCTAGCAACTAGGCAGTGGAGCAGATTAAGCAAGAGTATAAAAATACAGCAAGAGTCAGGAAGCATGGAAATTAACTCCCATTAAATCATATATGATAGTGGGGAGGGAGAGATTTTCAGGCTTAAGTGTCTCTTTGCATCCCTAATACCCACTGGATAAGTCTAGACTGGCATGATTTTCCGCAAATGCTTTTAACGGAAAAGTTTTTCCGTTAAAAGCATTTGCGGAAAAGAGCGGCTAGATTGGCACAGACACTTTTGCGCAAAAGCACTTTTTGCAGAAAAGTGTCCGTCCAATCTAGACGCGGTTTTGTGCAATTTTCGCCATCAGGGCTTTTTTGCGCAAAACAGTTTTTAGTTGTCTACACTGGCCCTCTTGCGCAAATACATTTGCACAACAGGGCTTTTACCCCCCTGAACAAGAACAGCATAGTATTTGCGGAACAACACTGACAATCTTACATTAGATCGTTAACGGTCTTACGCAAATTCAAGCGGCCAGTGTAGACAGCTGGCAAGTTTTTCCACAAAAGCAGACGCTTTTGCGGAAAATCTTGCCAGTCTAGACGCAGCCACTGGCTGTTGCACAGCAAAAGAGCTGCAGGACGATTTCTCTTAGAGGAGGAAAGATTGGCCATGAGATCAACCGCCTGTTTGCAGTGGAGGGGTGCATTGCTGCTTGTGAGTGAGAGGTTTTCCATCAGTTAGTGGTATCTAGAGAGCTTTAAAATAGGTGGCCTAGGCTTGTGGCCCAGCATAGGGACCCAATCCTAAGTACTGGGTGCCCTCGGTTTCCACAAAGTATTTCGAGGGAGCAGGCCCCTGGCCCTGTTTTCATTAGCTACTCTAGGGCAGCTTCAGCAGAAGATACAGGAAGCTCCCCTCTCCCACTCAGCGATCTCATAGCTCAGTGGTTCACGTCATCTCCTGAGAAGCGAGAGACCAGTTTCAAACCTCTCCCCCCTTCCAGCAGAGAAGGGAAATTCAACATAGGGCACCTCAACCTCCTGGATTTTGAATGGCACCGAACCCAGGGTGCATGCTCAGCAGTTGTCTATCAGTTTGGGTCCCCCACACAGCTGAGGCAGCTGACGACCAAATTCATGTGTGTGAAAAAATCATGGACCGTGACCTCTGGTCTCCTGTGTAGATTCACCCTCTTTACTGATTTCACAGGGGAGACCAGCAGCTCTGAAAGTAGGGGGCCACGGCATGGCCATGCTGGGCAGCTGGCTCTGAAGGCAGCTGCTCAGAAGCCAGGGTGGCAGTACCAGGACCTGGCTACAATAACCTACACCCCCTGCTTTTGGTTTAGGACCCTACAGTAACATAGCTGCGCCATTTCAGATTGGCATAGCTGAAAGCATGACCTTTATGATTGTTTAAAGCCTCCAACCATGAAATTGACCGAAGTGGATCACAAATTTGTTAGGGCCCTATTCAGGAATCGCATTGCGGGAGAAAGAGGCACCTGCATGCCTAGGGGGAGGTGGTCAAATTGGGTACCCAGGAAACGTTGACAGTAAAGATGAGGTAGCAGGTGAGAGTGGGTGCCAGTAGCAAACCGGGAGTTCCATGGGCCTGGTGCCACATGTGGGGATAAAGCCACGGAACTGGCCTCCTGCTCAGCCAGCCAGCGAGCAGCTGAGGAAGTGGTGAGAGAATTAAGGGTGGAATTTCTTTACACAAAGAAAAGCAAATATGTAAGTACCAAGGGCGGCACCAGGCCCAGTAAGAATAAACAGTGTGAAGGGGGTTAAACAAATACTTCCCTGCTGGTCAACAAAACTAACAGGCACTGCAACTGTGTCACTGCAAAGAAAGGTACCAACCCACCTTCCTCCTTTATCTTCTTCAAAGCTTCCTGGGTGAGGACAGGCTGGCAATCTGCAAGCCCCAGGCTGGCCAGGGACTGGCCCCCTCCTGCTGGCTAGATGGAGAGGGGCTCAGTGCTTGATTTTAGAGTCATCAGAAACACAAATGCTGGTTTTGACCATTTAAACAAGCCTCTCCCTTCCTCCACCTTGCTGTGTCACAGTCCGGCTGTAGGTACCGCACAGTTCTTTGCAGAAAACTGCACAGAGGCTCACCTAGCCCTTGGCAATGCTGATTTTGTCAGTGGCTTCTTGAGGACCAATCCATCTGCCAAAGTGGGCGTTACCCACGAAAGCTTACACCCAAATAGATATGTCAGCCTCCACGGGGCCACACGCCTCCTTGTTTTTGCAGATACAACCACGGCACCAGATATGGGGTCACTTGTGATCTTTACATAATGCTTCATCTAGCCTCAAGCACCCCACTTACAACATGCTCGCTGCACAAGAAAAACCTGAGGCAGCCTCCCAGCCTGGGTATGTGCTGTAGATTTTTAAGCCAGGATAGCTGGTAGGGATGTAAGTGACTAGTTGGCTACCCGATAGCAAATGCTCATTGGGTAGCCAAGTTCCCACTTGACTAGTCACTTCCAGTACTACTCTTGATAGAGGCAGCAAGGGGGGGACACCACGAGCCAGTCCAGGGGGGAGATGACTTAAAAGCCGGTTTTCTCCCCCAGTACCATTTCCACAGGGGTAGGGGGCAGCAGGAAACCACACGAGCAGGCACTGAAACAGTCCCACTTGTGCCAGTACCACTGCTGCTCCTCTCCCTTTGGAACGTACAAGAGTCGCCTGTGACTTTAATCACCCTGACATCCGTTGGGAGACCAATACAGCAGCACACAGGCAATCCAGGAAGTTTTTGGAGAAGGTTGGGTACAAGTGCTGAAGGAACCCACCAGGGGCCGTGCGCAGCTTGACCTTCTGCTCACAGACAGGAACTAGTAGGGGAAGTAGAGGTGGGTGCCAACCTGGGAAGCAGTGATCATGAGATGGTAGATTTCAGGATTCTGACCAAAAGAAGAAAGAGTAGCAAAATACACACCCTGGACGTCAGAAAAGCAGACTGACTCCCTCAGAGACCAGACGGGAAGGATTCCCTGGGATGCTTACATGAAGGGGAAAGGAGTCCAGGAGAGCTGGCAGTGTTAAAAAAGCCTTATTGAAGGCACAGGAAGATCAGCAAATATGGTAGGCGACCAGATTGACTTACTGGGAAAATCCTTGGTGATCTTAAACACAAAAAGGAAGCTTACAAGAAGTGGAAACGTGGACAGAGGACTAGGGAGGAGTATAAATATATTGCTCGAGAATGCAGGGGAGTTATCAGGAAGGCGAAAGCGCAATTGGCATTGCAGCTAGCAAGGGATGTGAAGGATAACAAGAAAGGTTTCTACAGGCATGTTAGCAATAAGAGGGTGTGGGGCCCTTACTGGATGAAGGAGGTAACCTAGTGACAGATGATGTGGGGAAAGCTGAAGTACTCAATGCTTTCTTTGCCTCTGTCTTCAGGGACAAGATAGCAAGTTGGCTAGATTGTCAGGCTCAACTGGTAGTGATCAATGGCTCAATGTCTGGCTGGAGTTCCGTACCAA